CCCTTGATCCTGCGCTCCTGGGCACAGCAGTCAAGCTCCCCAGGACAATAGGTTCATTGCTCCTTTCCAGAACACCAGGTGAGAGAGATGAAGCCCCTGCCCAGGGGCAGACTGGAAAACCCTCCTGAACAGAGGCAGCAGTGTGGGATGGTTAAGAGTCAAACTTGGGGTCTGGACTCATGTCCTGGCTCTGCCCTTTCGTCACTGTGTGGCCTTAAACAAGTCACCTCACCTCTCTGAACTTCCATTGTCTCATCTGTGTATGGTCTAACCGGGAGAGCAGGGTGATGAATTCCCACACTGCAGGGTCAGTGGGATTTCAAAAGCCTCAGACCCATACCCACCAAAGCACATGGGAAACAGGTCTAGGGGGCCAGGATCTGGTCACACTCTGTCCTCGGAGCCCAGAAGGGCTGGGCCATAGTGCTAACCAGAGCTCTACGTGCGACAGCCCGGAGGGGCCTCGAAGCACCAAGACCTTGGAATCCAGTCCAGTCTCCAGCCGCGTCTGAAACCCCCCGGCGGGGGTGTGGGGGGGGAACAGGCCAGGGTCACTATGCCCCGAGTACTCCCTGGCAGTTAGGGAGTGTGCCTGCAGTACCCAGCTCACCAGAAAGGTCCCGTGCTGCCCGAGGCACCCACGCTGGCTGCAGGGGCGGAGGGTAGCTCAGACCAGGGGGTCCTGGGGCCATGGGGAACCACTGAAGGCCTCTGAGCAGGGGCAGGACCTGAGCTGGGAAGGTCAGAGGTTGAAGTCTAACATTCAGAGCCTTGCCAGCTATCCCTTGGCCTTTGTGAAATATTAGAACGTCCAAGAGCTCAAGCCGCCTGGTTCAAATCCAGTCTCTAATTCCTACAGCTGTGGGGCCATGAGCACGTGACTATGCCTTTCTACACCTCGGTTTGCATCTGTAAAGTGGGGGGGATAATAGCCTAGAATTCTGGGGAGTTTAAATGCAGCAATGACTTTAAAGCACTGAACACAGTACTTGGCACATAGTAGGTACTCAATAAATTGAAGCTGATAGTCGGTTCTGCATCCACCAAGGTGTTTCGCTCTTCCTGCTGTCCCCTCTGCCTGGTAGGCCCATCTCCACGCTTTTCATATGAACTCCTATGCATCCCTTAAAGCCCCACCTAACTGGTCTCATCGCTGACCCCTCACACACGTGTGCGCACGCGCGCATACACACACACACGGGAAGTCCTCTCCTCTGGGCTCCCTGACACCGCACATGGGCACCTCCTCCCACAACCTGACCACACTGCAGGCAGATGAGCTGGTGCCTGTGGGGTTCACCATTAGATCATCAGTGCCTGGCATGGAGGTGTGTGGGTGAAAGGTTCTCTCTCGCTCTTGCTCTCTCTCTTTTACTTCTTGTATGATTTCAACCAAAAACAGACACCCCCACCCCCCACCCCAGGAACATCCCTGCAGTTTCCAGTCAAACTTAGAAAATTTCCTCAGGCCATCACCAGAGTGGAGGACCGCACCAACCCCAAAATGCAGAATTCAGGATTGAAAACCCTTTCGTTAAATGTGTTATACAGATTATTTGGGGGGGGTAGGAATGCCGAGTGGCAGGGTAAGACGTGTGAGGCAGCAGTGCACCGTGTGTGCCATCTGGAACAGCCTTCAAGGTAAGTTGTCAAGTAAAACAAATAAAATGAGGAGCAGAATGGAGTATAAACCAGTAGGCTATCATTTGTGTGTGAAGGAAGGACGGAGGAAAGGACAATGTATATATTTGTTTGTATGTACATAAATTAGCTCTGGGGGGGACAAATCAGTTAATGGTGGCTGCTTCTGGGGAGGAAAAGTTGGAGGCTGGGAGTCAGGGAGGGCGGACACTTACTTTTCACTCCCTATCCTTTTGTACTTTTTGGATTTTAGACCATTTGCTCACAGTAGCTACTCAAAAGTAAGTACGTGAACAAAGTATAGGGCTTTGGAAGTCACATACTCCAATGCCAGGCCCAATTTGATACAGCGACCCTCCTCAGCACCCTGACAGGCGATGCTTCCTTGAATGCTCCCAGGGACAGGGAGCTCAGTAACTCACCATCCAGCTAATCCATCTTGGGATAACTTGGAAGGGTGGGCTTGGGCTCAATGAGACAAGGCAGAAATGTGCTTCTGGGGCTGCAAGCAGGTGCCCCTCTCTCGCCCCTGACAGTGGGCACAAATGTGAGTTCCTGCCTAGGGATCTGCTTCTAGGGCCTACCTGTCCCCAGGCCCAGGCGGGAGGTGGGCAGGGTGGCAGGGTGTGCTCTGCTGTGACTCAGGCCCCACAGGTGCCCGAGGCACAGCCAGCTTCCCAGGACACAGGGCTGTGACTCAGGGCCACAGCAGGGCCAACCCAGGTGGCAGTTGGCGGGCCACCAGCACACCCGCGCCCTTCCCAGCCTCGAATCCCAGCAGGGCCTCTGTCCCAGGCACACACCACCTGGCTCACCGCTGCCCCCCTTGGCAGACAGTAGGACGAGGAGATTAAGGCTCTGGCACCAGACAGCCTGGGTTTAAATCCTGCCTCTGCCATTCACTGACTTGAGCCTCAGTTTCCCCATCTGTTTAGAGGGGAACCACACTGCCCTGCCTCCTAGTATGGCTGTCACAAAGATGATCTGCGTTAACTGGGAAAAGTGTCTGGATCAGCCCCAGCATGGAGTCTGCACTCAGTAAATGTCAACCATCACTCCAGGGGGGGCCCAGCCTGATGCGGGGGGGGTCACTGACACCAAAGCCTTGGTGGGAAGCTTGGGCGCCCCAGCTCACCCAGCATGGCCTGGCCAGCAGGCCCCAGAGGAGCAAGTCTCCAGGGGCACCTGGCTTCAGAAAGATCAACCAGGCAGCCCCCAAGGAAGCCCTGGGTCCCCCTGACAGATTGTCAGCCCCACGACGCCACAGCTTTCCTCTGTTTATGAGCTGCGTCCCCAAGCCCGGAACAGTGCCCAGCACAGTAGGAGGGGGGCTCATGGGCAAGCAACCCGCGCCATCCCACAGAGTCCCACGCTTAGAAGCTGCCATGTTTGGTTTCATCTTGAAGCTCTTATTGTGAACAAGGGGCACTGTATTTCATTTTGCACCCAAATTCTACAGTCACTCGTGTACCTGCGTGACACCCAGGATGTATTTTTGAATGAACGACCAAATAAATGTCACCTGTGGCAGCTCTTCTCGTTTTCCCCGAGGGCCATGGCCTCCAAGTCTCCTCTTACAGAGGAAGAAACTAAGGTTCATGGAGGTGAACAGACTCACCCCAAATCACCCAGAATTTGGACCCAGGCCTGTCAGGCCCTGAAGCCCCAATGCCTCTGGCCTCCTCAGGCGCAGCTGGGGAGGCCTCTCTGTGCCAGCGAAGCCGCAGCCCCACGGGTAGGGATCTCAGGGCAGCGAGACCCAAGAGCAAGCTCCGCCCGCCCCGCCAGGGCCACTCGGCCGCCCTCTTCTCAGCTGGGGAAACTGAGGCCCAGCTCAGCGTAGGAGCTGCCCGCTTGGCAAGGGTGCCTGCCCGGGAGGCGGCCTGGCCCGGTGCCCGGTCAGGGGGCGGGGGCCTCTGTGAATCGCTCCTCAGTCCCCGCCGACCACAAGCGGGTTGGGAGAAAGGCGGCTGCTCCCCGCCCGCTTCCCCGCCAACGTGGGCCCAAACAATGGGCCTTTGTGCCTGACGTGGGCGGGTTGTCAAGGTGCGCAGCCCTGGCCCTGAGCCCTGGCCTCAGCCTCCACGCGGGCAAGGGGGCCGGGCCAGGGGGTCTGCGGGGGCCGGGAGATCCAGCAGGTGAGGGAGCGAGGCCTACCTGAGACACTCACGGCAAAGGAAACCGAGGCACAGAGAAGATAGACCCGGCACCCAGGGCCACACAGCACATGGACATCAGAGATGGGTCGGGAACTGGGACGCCAGCTTCCCTCTCACTGCGGCCTGTGGTCCCCACCCCACAGCAAGGGGCTTGGACATCCCTGCTGCGAAAACCTTCCCTTGGGGGGTCAGCAGAGTCACAGTGCCCTTCCTCTCTCTTCTCACCACCCCCGTGTCCCCTTTCCAAAGGGGCTCAGTCAGAAGCGCCCCCACCCACCCCATCTCCAGGAGGTCCCCCAAGATTGCATCCACAGCTTTGTTAAGAAAATGTCGCCCCCTCACAAGGCCCCGCCTACCCACTCTAGAGCTCTTTCCCTTTTCTAAATCATAGGCCCAGCGGGAACCTCCTGGTCAGGCAGGCCCTGCCCCGAGCCCCATATTACAGGAGGAGACCGAGGCTCTGGCAGGGGCTGGGCTCGCCCAGCCCACCCACCCGGGACGCAGCCGTCGTGTGTAGTGAGACTCCACAGATTTCTGATGACCCTGGGAGGAAGAGGGGGGCTAAAGGCCAGGCCGTGCCCTCCCGGCACCCACCTTCTGAGGGAAGGAAAGAGAAGGCATGACAACAGCAATGATAACGCATAGCTCTCCGTTATCGAGCGCGTAATAAATGCTTTACGTATGGGATCTCATTGCCTTGTCACAAATCCACCAGGAGGCAGGTAGTATAGTTATCCCCATTTTACAGATGACAAGAGGAGAGGATGAGGCTGCCTAAAGTCAGCCAGCTAATAAACGGATTCAAACCCTGCCTAGTCCACAAATGTCCCTACTCGCCCAACCCTCACAACCACCCTGCCAGGCCAGGTGAATGATCCCAAGTACAGATCAGAAAACCGAGGCTGTGACAACAAAATCAAGTGCCCAAGGTCACCCAGCCAGAAAGTGGGACGAGGGATTCAACCACGGGCTTCTGGCCCCCAGCGTCCCGGTCTTCGGTCTTATTTCCTTCCTCCTCCCCCCACAATCAGATTCCCTAAATGTCCCTCAAATCCATCTGTACCAGCGGCCGCTCGACCTCATCTCCCACCAGGATGGATGCAATAGCTCCCTGACGCCCATCCTCACTGGCCTGACCCAACACATAGGAGATGATCCTGAAAATCCAGAAAGAGAATCCCAGAGGAATAAGCTACATACGCATGCACAGGAGCTGGAAGATCACTGCAGTCTGTTGACACGACAGATCCTACACTGGGAACAAATAGATGCATCCGAGCTGCTACACCACTGGGCACAGAGTTCTGGAACAGGACTCAGAGTAGGAAAAAAAAAAAAAAAAGCAAGTTGCAGAAGCAAATGTACAAGAGACACCGTCTGTACCCACAACTGAATCAGGGTCCCCGAACCCTCAGGGATGTGTGTGTGTGTGCGTAAAAGTATAAAGATGTGGCACAGTGACTTTGGGAAACTGGCCACAGCTCGAAAAACTAAATATGCAAATACCCCATCATCTTGCAATTCCCTTCTTGAACAGAGACGAAAAGAAGGGTGTTCTTATGCCCACCAAAAGATATGCACAAGAACATTCCCAGCAGCACTACTCAAAATACTGGAAACTGGAAGGAATGTCCATCTCCATAGACAGGTGATTAAGGTAACTGTGGTCTGTTTAAACAGTGGACTACAACACAGTGGAGAAAAGGAAATGAACCACGGACGCAAAACACAGAGAGAGCTCATGGGCCTAACAGTGAGTGAAAGTGCCAGATACCAAACAGTACATACGGAATGATTCCACGCATCTGAAGTTCAAGAACAGCAAGACCAAATGCTAGAATCGGTCTATAACTGGATGCAGGTGGTGATCCCATGAGCTATCAGATTGTATAAGATTTTTTTGCGTTTGACGGTGTGTACTTTATACCTCCAGCGAACAAACAACAGAAGAACCGAGACATGCATGGGATCCTGAACACCAAATCCGGGGTTGCAGCAACTTTTAGGAGAGAGACGACTGGGGAGGGGTTTCTGAGGTTGCCAACGATACTGGGGTGTTTTCTTCTTAAGCCGAATGATGGCTGCGCAGAAGCTTATTTTATTATCCTTCTTACTTTTTTGAATGTCTAAAATATTTCATTGAAAACCAAACCAAAAACAACCATTTCCGTGGCTTCTCCTGCTCTAGAACGTACAATGGCTCCCCACTGCCTACAAGCTAAGGTCCACCCTCCTTCTGCATGCCATTCAAGGTCTCATCCTGGGCCTCAACCTGTCTTTCCAGCCTCCTCCCTCACCCCTCCCCACCAGCCAAGCTGGTCTCCTCACTCTTCCCTAACACGCCTTAAACATTCCCGTCTCCACGCCTTTCCTCCCACCTGGAATGCCCTCCCCATTCCTGTCTACTTGTTCTGTGCCCGGCATTATGCCGAGTGCTTCCGGCTATTAACTCCTGAAATCAGGGGCTGAGCCATGGTGAGACTGGGGCATGGCTTTCAGCCCCAAATAACCTCCATTGTCGCCCCCCAAAAGCCACCCCAAATAATCCAAGTACAAAGAGTGGTCCTGCTGTCCCCAGTTTCAAGACAAATCCTCCCAAGCTCCAATCATTCCCTGATATAGAGAGATTCTGGCCCACTACTGGATTTTAGCATTTTACACAGGGGAAGAGAGGCTCAGAGAGGGCAAGTGACTTGTTTGAAACACTCAGCAAAGACTGTCCTGCTCTTGAGATCTTTTCCTCCTCTGAAAGCTTCCAATCATGACTGGCCCCCAAGCTTGTTCCTGCCTCAGGGCCTTTGCCCTTGCTATTCCCTCTTCTGGAATGTCCTTCTCCCAGAACTTTCTATGCCCAGATCCTTTTCATCATTCTGGTCCCTGAATTAAGGTCAGAGCAGCCTTCCCAGACCCTTAACCCCAGGGCAAAGTAACTCCACCCCTATCTTTCTCTATTACATAACCATATTTTATTTTAGTCAGATAACTTAGCACTCTCTAAAATTGTCCTGCATATTTGTTCACTCACGTCTATGTTATCTGCCATATGCATACCCCTGTGATCTCAGTGGCATGAAGCAGGGCTTTTGTCTATCTCATACACTGTTGCATCCCAGGGCCTGACGTAGCAGGTGCTCTGTAAATGAGCTGGAAGAACACAAATCACCAACTAACTCTGCCTACCCAGGGTCCCGCAGCAAGGATATGACAGGGAAGAAGGCACTCCGTGGCCATCTGGGGCTAGAATCTTTGCTCTTCATCATTCTGCTCTCCCCAGTCCAAAGGCTGCACTGGGTCCAAAGATATAGGAAAGAGAGGCAACCACGGGCCGGGCTGTTGGTCCTGGCAGGCCCCCACCACAGCCCACCGCACAGATGGAAAGGGCCCCACATCCCGCTGGAAAAGTGCATTTTTTTGCCATTAATATTTCTAAGCTTGTGTAATGATATGGTTTTGCCCTCATGGTACTGTTCCTTTTCAGCCTGCATTTTCCTCTTTGTATTCTAGCTTCATTTTTCCACGCTTTTAGCATTTTCACAGATGCTTATAAAGTTCATATGGCCGCACGAGAGAGAGAGAAAAACAGAGAGTCAGAGACAGCGAGAGACAGGGAGACAGAGTCCAAAACAGAAGGAGAGACAGATGGGGACCGAGAGAGACAGAGGGAGTGGTGATGGTGGAGACAGCGAGATCCAACTCCCACATCTTACCTAATGTGCATCTCCCGAACAATGACAGCATTTAGTGAGCACTTACTATGCGAAACACTTCTCTGTGAGTGAGCACATATGATTCTCACAAGCACCCTGGGGAGGTGAGGGCTACTTTTGTTCCTATTTAGAGTTGAGGAAATTGAGGCAGAGAGGTCACCCAGCTCAGCCCCAGTCATACAGCCAGTGGGTGGAGAAGCCAGGTTTGGCCTCAGATCCACCCCAGAGCCAAGGCTAGACCATTTCATCCAGGAACAGGCCTTGGGGTCTCTGGGTTTGTGTTAGGGCATTTCTCCAAATTGTCTGTGCCAGCCAAATGGAGGTTCTGACTCAACAGGGCTGGGGTGGGGCCCAAGACTCTGCATTTCTAACCGCCTCCCAGGCTGGCCCCAAGCGGAGGGTCCTAACTGGGTTTACAGGAGTCTGTTACTATGTTACTATGAGGGTCCCACCAGCAGCCACTCAAACCACCAGCCTTACCCACAGGCCCCTTTGGTTCGATTTTCTCTGCTCAGCACTTCCTGTTGATCCGTCCTCAGATTCCTGGGAATTCCCCGCAAGCCGGCTCTCCCGCACACAAAGACAGCTGCACAAAGATGTTCACTGTGGTGTTGTTTATAGGAAAGACAACTTGGAACCCCTGAATGCGCACCAAGAGGGGACAGTTACACACACCGGGATCCATGTAGCCATCAGCGATGATGGACGAGCAAAGCTCAAAATACACATGACCCCTGACCCAGCAGTTCGACTTCTAGGAATATATGCTACAGACTTGCACATGGACACAAAGACGTTTGCACAAGGCTCTCTGTTGCAATTTCTAGTGGCGAAAGCCTGTAAGTACCTCAATGGCCATCAGTAAGAACCGGGTCATTAAATCCTGGTCGTTTCCACAAGGGACTACTTTTTTAAAAAAGGAAGGGCATTCCTTATGCACTGATGTGGACCATCTCCAAGATCTACTGTTAAGTGAAAAAACAAGGCCCAGAAACATGGGTACTGTTGTCGAATATCTGTAGGCAGAGAAAAAGAAAGAAAATCTATGTTTTTGTTTGTATATGCTTAGAACCTTTCTGGAAAGCCAAACAAAACGTCCCAGGAGGAACTGAGGGGACGGGGGGCAGGAGGAAGACAGACTTTTAACTGCAGGCTTCTGGTACCTGTGCATTTGGTGCTCTATGAAGGTATTATCTGTAGACAAACATTAATAAAAGTTAAAATCTGTTAAATGATGGAAGAGTGCTACATTTTTGAATGTGGGAAAATGCTTTGATAAACTATTAAGGGGAAAAGGAGGGGACCCAACTTATATGCTGTAATATTTCCATGCAGGTAGATAGGTATGGAGAGAAATGTCTGGGAAGACCGTCACCAGATGGTTAACAACCAGAGTTGCTGTTATTTATATGCTACATGAGTTCCTTCATTGAATTCTCAAGACAGTGGGAGGGAGGTGGACAGACTGGTACTATCCTCATTTCACAGACAGGGAAACTGAGGCCCAAGAGGGGAAGTCTTCTGCCCAAGGTCTCACAGCCCAGGGAGGAGAGCTGGGATGTGGGCCACAACCATCGGACTACAGAGCCCTCTCAATTCAAACTGGGCAATTTATACTTTTTCTTTGAATTCTTCAGCATCATTGGAAGTTGAAACAATGAACCCAAGTCTGTCTGTCTCTCTCTCCTTCTCTCTCCCTCCCTTCAAGCCCCTCCTTCTAAATAAAGTTGTTAAGAAAAGACCCTTAGGATACCTCACGTCCCCAAGTCAGCAGCCCTCTTCCCTAGCACTCTGTCCGCCTGGTACCTGCCCTCGAGCTCCAGGTATGGAGAATCATGAGAGCAGCTTTAAGAAAGAGAGCATTACATATCAAGCAAGGGCAGAGAGAATGTTCCAGATAAGAGGAGACCAAAGAGACTTGCCACCAAAGGCAGAGCCTGATCCTTGATTGGAATCTGGACCAGGAAAAAACAAAGAGCAAAAAAGCCTCAACCATTAGGGACACTTTGGAGCAATCTCAGTAATTTGGACACGGGCCCTGGATATTGGGTGACAGGAACGAGTCAAAGCTAAATCTCTCAGGTATGATAATGGCATTAGGGCTGTGAGCTGTGCCAGAGAATGCCCTGTTCTTCAGAGATGCTCCCTGAAGTGTTTAGGGTAAAGCGTCAGGACGTCTGCAAGTTACAAACAGTTCCGCAGAAATCATGCAGACAGAGAGATAGAGGCCGAGAATGCACACAGGGCCAAGGGCTGACAGGTGGAGTATGTGGGTGGAAGGACTACCATGGTTCATGGTAAGGTTTTTGCACTTTTCTATAAGTTTGAAAATCTCTAAAATAAAAAGTTGGGGGAGATCAGTGGTCGTCAGCAGCTGGTGGTGGGGAAAGGGATTTACTACAAATGGGCACAGGGAACTTTCTGGAGTGAGGAAGTACTCTGTATCTTGTTCGTGGTAGTGGTTATGTAACTGTATAAGTTTGTAAAACTTCACAGAACTGTACACCAAAAAAGGGTGAATTTTACTGTATGTAAATTATACTTCCAAAAAGGTGATTAAAAAAAAAAACCGTAACAGCTGTGGGACACAAGGAGCCAGTAGGGCCCCACTCCCCCATGGTCTCCAGGAGCACAGTGGGTCCTGCCTTGAGCCAGCCTTGCCTGAGCCTGTCCCATGGTAGACCCTGGGTGGGTTGGGGGGATGGTCAGCAATGCAGAGGGGCTGGCCCTCCAGGTCCTGGGACCCACAGCCCAGCCCCGGGGAGTGTCCAGGCACCACATGGGAGCTTCCTCCCAAACCTCCTTGGCCTGAGTCCAGGGTCTCAGGTTCCCCAGGGCCAACCTCTTTGTGTGATCTGGAGAAAGTGGGTCTGGGTGCCCCTCAGGAGGTGTTCTCAGCCTCACCAGAGACAGAGAGTCAGCAGGAACGACCATGTGTCATCACTCTGTCCACCCCATCACCACCAGTATAGCCAGAGCTACAAGGACCCAGAGGACGAAAGCAACTTGCCCAAAGTCACACAGCAAGTTAGACAGCTCTGTCTGGGATGGACCATTCCTAAACTAAAGCTTTGGGCCTGAGACTGTCACCTCCAACCTCGGCCCCCACCCCCCACCCCCATTTCTCAGACAGGAAGACCAGGGCCCAAGTCTGTATCAGAGTGCAGATTAGCAACAGCTCAGGACCCCTGGACCCTGTGGTCCTATTTGGTGTGGTTCCCACAGGCTTATGGTGGGGAGCAGGGGAGTCCTGACCACCGTCCACTGTCATCTTCACTGTCCCCTCCCAAGCCTCCTCTGCTCCCATAGGGGCAGAGGGAGGGCAGGGAGGAGGAAGGGGTCCCACGCCTGCCCCCCACTGCCCCAGGGAGCGCCCACATGGCAAAGAGCCACAGATTCTGCCAAGCCCATGAAACTCACCTCACCCAGAACCTGTTTCAACTCCTCCAGCTCTCCTTGGCAGCCGTGGAGGCCTCATTAAGCGAGGCCAGCACCTCCCACACACCACCCGAAGAAGGGGAGGGGGCGCACGCCAACAGTGCCGTCCTATGGAACCTTCCCCAGAGACCCCCAGGCCCTGGGGAGGGCAGAGGTGGCACAGTGCCCTGCCAGGCCTGGGGAGTGGGGGCCTCGCTGCAAGACAGCCCTGCCACCTTCTCCCTGGGCAGGCCTGCATGGGCCCCACAGAGTTGTTTAACCTCCTTAATTAACCGGCAGTGATTAAGAGGCCACCTTGGAAGGCCCCCAGGGCTTCAAGGAAGGCTGGGGGCTGGGAACTGGGGGCAGGACGCCCCCCCATCCAGGGCAGGCTGAGAGGCTCCCCCCAAGTGGAAAGGGGAAGGAGACCCTATCCCACACCAGAGGGTCGGGGGCAAAACAGCCCATCCTCCTCAAATTGGCTGTGTGATGCTGGGAAAGTGGCCTCACCTCTCTGTGCCTTGGTTTCCACCGGGAGGGAGGGCAGGGTGGCAGCGAGACTTGATTAATGACTGTTTGTGAAAAGGTCGGGGAGATGCTGCTGATAACAGGCCCGGCTATTATTCCGAGAAGGCATCGAGGAGTGTCTGAGCCCATAATTACCAAGAGGATGAAAACAGTAAGGAGCGAGGAGGCCTCGCCCGGCCCTGCCCGGTGCCCCCACGTCCACCCTCCCACCCTGGCAGGGGCTCCTCTCCAGGGCAGGGAGACCCAGGGAAAAGAGATCTCGGACCCCAGCCTGGGCCCTGAGCCTTCTACTCCTCCTCTCAGCACCCAGATTTTTCCAACCGTTTCCATCCATCCCTCACTCATTCATTCATCCCACACATGTTTATGGAGCACCTACTATAGCCGGGCAGTACAGCAGTGAACAAAACCAACATGGTCCCTGCCCACAAGGGCACAGCCCACTAGAGGAGGTAGATAATAAAAAAATAAAACTCCAGCAAGGGGGCAAAATACGGAAAAAGAAAAGGAAAGAAAAGAAAAAGAAGAGAAGAGAAAAGAAGAAAGAAAGAAAAAGAGAAGAAAAGAAAAAAAGAAAGGAAAAGAAAAGGTGATGTGATGGGTAACATGATGGGGGGGAATTGAGCTCAAATGATCAAGAAACGCTTCTCTAAGGAGGTGACATTAGAGCTGAAAACCAAGGGGTAAGATGGAGTCGCTGTGGAAAGAGAGTTCCAGGCAGGGGAGCTGCATGTGCAAAGGCCCTGGGGTGGGAAACATGTGTTGGAGGAGACCGGAGCAGAGAGGAAGAAAGGTAGAATGTGGGAGGGGAGGTCAGAGAAGCGGGCAGGGTGGGGAGCAGATCAGGCATGGCCTTGGGGGGAGCGAGGAGCCTGGATTGCATCCTCAGGACCGTGGGCAGCCTTGGGGGTATTCTGAGCAGGGAAGGGACAAGGGCAAGATCCTCTCCCCGGTGCCGTATGCAGGGCCCGCTCAGTGCATACATGAAGGTTGAATTAAAATTCAAACGGCTGAAGATCCTAATGAGGATCACCATGCCTATTTGTAGAACACTTTCCTACTTGAGGTTCAAATCCTGGCCTCACCACCTCCTGCCTCTGTGACCCTGGGCCTCAATTTCCTCTCCTGTGAAATGACAAAGATCACAGAGTCTTCCTTTGAAAGGGGGTGGGGCATTCCCGCCAACACCCAACGCTGGATTTCTCAGCTCGGGCACTGCCCAATACACCAGTCCCACCTCTCGGCTCTGTTTCTTCCCAGCAACCAGAGGGATCCTTTCAACCACATTTCTCCTCAGCTCAACACTGTGGTGGCTGCCCACTGTCCCCAGGCCAGCATCCCCACCTGTCCCAAGCCGCCTCTTGTGCCACCCTCATCCTCCCACTCTGCCCTCTAGCTGGAGCCACTTCCAGTCCTCTGAATGTTCTGTCCATCTTGCCTCAGACCCTTTGCATATGCTGTTCTTTTGCCCAGAATGTCCTTCCTCCCACTCTTCTGCCTGAGCTGGATCCTCCTCCTATGGGAAGTCATCCAGGGCTCCCTAGGGCTGCTCATATAGCGCCCTGGGCTTCCCCCATGACAGCACCTGTTGAAGAGATGGATGTGTCAGAGTCCCCAGCTAGAATGGGAGCACATTGGGGGCAGGAACAATGTCTGAGGCATCCCTCTCCTGCAAGACCTGGGGGAGGTATGGGGAGGGGAGGTGACAAAGAGAATGAATGTTTAAGGTGGGTTGAGGTGGCAAAGTGGAGTCAAGTCGAGCTGAGTGGAGTTAAATCAAGTTTAGATGGGGTGGGTTGAGGACAGGAGGTGAGCTAGGCTGGGTTGAGCATGAAACTGAGTGGGACTGACTCGAGCTGAATTGACGTGGGTGGGACTGAGGTGAGTGGAGGTGAATTAAGCTGAGCTGAACCAAGGTGAACAACTAGTTGAGATAAGGTGAGTTGAGTTGAGTTAGGTTGACTTGAGTTCAATCAGTTTGTGTCCTTTACTGGATTGCGCTATACTGAACTGAGGGGCACAGAGCCGTTGTCAACCGAGCGAGCGACACCGAGCTGAGGTCTGCCGAACT